ATCGGAAAAAAAATTTAAAATTAACATTTCTGTATATAACAGCAATACTTGTACCAAATTTTATATGGATATCTTAATTTAGTAATGAGTTATGTGCGTTTAAGTGATTTTCGGGAAACGACCTTGTATGGGAGCTATGACCAATTATGGACCGATCGGAATAGAATTTCACAGTAACATTTCTGTATATAACAGCAATACTTGTACCAAATTTTATATGGATATCTTAATTAAGTAATGAGTTATGTGCGTTTAAGTGATTTTCGGAAGGGGACCTTGTATGGGAGCTATGACCAATTATGGACCGATCGGAAAAAAATTTCACAGTAAAATTTCTTTATATAAGAGCAACACTTGTACCAAATTTTATATGGATATATTAATTTAGTAAGGAGTTGTATGGGAGCTATGACCAATTAAGGACCGATCGGAAAAAAATGTCACAGTAGTATTTCTGTATATTAGAGCAATACTTGTTCCAAATTTTATATGGATATCTTAATTTACTAATGAGTTTTGCGTGTTTAAGAGATTTTCGGGAGGGACAATAAGAACAATATATGGAAATCTTAATTAAGTAATGAGTAATGTGCGTTTAAGTGATTTTCGGGAGAGGACCTTGTATGGGAGCTATAAACAATTATGGACCGATCGGAAAAAAATGTCACAGTAGTATTTCTGTATATTAGAGCAATACTTGTTCCAAATTTTATATGGATATCTTAATTTACTAATGAGTTTTGCGTGTTTAAGAGATTTTCGGGAGGGACCTCGTATGGGAGCTATGTCCATTTATAGACCGATCCTGAAAATATTTTCTCTGAATGAATTCTATTTTCATAAGATTTTAACTTGTAAAATTTTGTGAAGATATCAATTTTCAGCAGAAGTCAAGCCCTTGTGCAGAAACAAATGTATGGTGATTTTCATGCAATTATATTATAAATAAATGCTTATTTTTCGGAGTTGTTTTAAATTTTGATTCATAACTTTTCCCGATGTGAACCGATTTTGCTCATTTTCAATACCAAACTGCCTAGGACAATAGTAAATATTTTGGGTGAATTTCGTTAATTTTTGTTGCTTCGTGTTAACGTGAGAATGTTTTATACAAACAGACGGATGGACGGACAGACGGACATAGCTAGATCGACTCAGAATTTCTTAAGGTCCAAGAATATATATACTTTGTTGGGTCTCAAATGAATATTTCTTGGTATTACACACCACTGATGGTGGTGGAGGGTATAATCTATATATATAAAAACAAGTAAGAAGTTATAGTCGGCGAGGCCGACCATATAATACCCTACACCTGTATACGAATAAAATGTAATTCAGTTTTCGTAATAAAGCATTTAAGATGAATTGTACCTTGCCTCAGATATACATAAGGCATTTATTGTTTAATAAAACTGTGGATATTTAAGTAAAATTTTGATGGGGGCTTTTTATAGGTGCTAGGGTCAAATGAGGCCCTATAATTATAAAGTTCATCAGGGTCATCAAGGCTAGTATAGAACTTGGTTTTGCAGCTTTTTGTCGAGATACGAGTATATTAAACATAATTATGAATTTAAAAGTCCTATTCGTAGGGTTGGGGGCTAGGTGAAATAATGGACCGATGTTAACCATTTTCAATAGGCTTTGTCTCCGGTACCATAGAAGATCATTGCTTATCCTAGACACAACGCAGTGTTGTATAAGCAAATCTTGTTCGAAAAAATACATTTTCGACATGTTTTAACTTAATGAAACATTTATCATTTTCAAAGGCTTTAACATCTTTAGATTTAAAACAAGTAAGAAGTTATAGTCGGGCGAGGCCGACCATATAATACCCTACACCTGTATACGAATAGAATGTAATTCAGTTTTCATAATAAAGCATTTAAGTTGAATTGTACCTTGCCTCAGATATACTATACATAAGCCATTTATTGTTTAATAAAACTGTGGGTATTTAAGTAAAATTTTGATGGAGATACGAGTATATTAACCATAATTATGAACTTAAAAGTCCTATTTGGCGGGTTCAGTTGTATGGGGGCTAGGTGAAATAATGGACCGATGTTAGCTATTTTCAATAGGCTTCGTCTACAGTACCATAAAAGATCATATGCCAATTTCATTAGATTAGCTCCAAAATAGCGACCTGTAGTTTGATTAAAAGGCCTACAAGCTCTATTCTGGGGTTCAGTTGTATGGGGGCTAGGTGAAATAATGGACCGATCTTAACCTTTTCAATAGGCTTCGTCCCCGGGGCAATAGAATATCATATACCAAATTTCATTGAATTATCTTCAAAATTGCGACATGTAGTCTGATTACAAGTTTTACATGGACGGACAGATGGACGGACATAGCTAAATCGACTCAAACAATGATTCTGAGCCGATTGGTATAGGACAAATATTATTGTGCGTTACAAACATCAGCAAAAACCCAATATACCCTGCCCACTAAAGTGGTGTAGGATATAATGAATGTGTGTTTGTAAGTATGAATTTATGTACGTTTGTTTGTTTGTTTGGACTTTATAGACTGCTAAACGGCTGGACCGATTTTCCTGAAATTTTCACAGTGCCTTCTTGTATGTCTGGAAGGAACTATAGGCTACTTTTAATATTAAAATTTCATGTGGGCAGAGTGCAACGCCCACATACATAATAAGTATTTAAAATCACATATCTCAAAAACTGCAACACCTAGAGCTGTATGGACAACTTTGACATCCACATGAACATATGGGGACAATATGGGCGGACTAGCTATAGTGGGCGTGGCCCCTCCCATAAAAAGAAAATCTTAAATTAGTATATCTGAGAAAATATAACAACTAGAGCCCTCTAATTTTTCTGAGCCACTTTAGTATCAACATGAATGCTTAGGACAAAAAATTAGCGGAATATCAATAGGGGGCGTGGTACTAAAATACAAATTATCGTTTATCTAGAAACTATTGGAGCTGGAATCTGTAAATTTTGCACGAAGCACTTTAACATCTATGTGAACATTTTGGAGGAAAAATGGCGGACTAACAATAGGTGCCGTGGTACCTCCCATATGAATTAAATAAAAAATTCGTTTATCTGGGAAACTATTACATCTAGAATCCTCAAATTTAGCACGAAGAACTTTGACATTCATTTTAACATTTGGGTAATAAATTGGCGGACTAGCAATATGGGAAGTAGCACTTCCCATATGAATTGAATACAAAAATTCGTTTATCTAGAAACTATTAGAGGTAGAATCTTAAAATTAACATAAAAGTGAACATTTGGAAGTAAAATGTGCGGACATTAATTTTGGGTTCTTGGAAACTTTCATATGAATTAAATACAAAAATTTGTATATCTGAGAAACTATTACAGCTAAAATCCTTAAATTTTGCGCTAACAACTCTGACATGTGAATATTTGAATCTAGAATCCTATAATTTTGCAGAAAGAATGTTCACATTCATGTGAACATGGGAGGTACCATACCCCTATTGTAGACTATCAAAAGGGGCTATGGTACCTCCCGTATGGATTAAAATAAAAATTCGTATAACTGGGAAACTAACAGAACTAGAATCTTCACCACTTTAGTGGGGAGTGTATATTGGGTTTGTGCTGATGTTTGTAACATACAAAAATATTCGTCCTATACCCACCTTAAAGTATACCAATCGGCTTAGAATCGTTTTCTGAGTCGATTAAGCTATGTCCGTCTGTCCGTCCGTCTGGCTGGCTGGCTGTCCATGTAAACCTTGTGCGCAAGGTACAGATCGCAGTTTTCAAGATAATTGGATGAAATTTGGCACACACCCTTTTTTCGGCCCTATTGAAAATGGTTAAAATCGGTCCATTATTTCACCTAGCCCCCATACAATAGACCCCCCCGAAAAGGGCTTCTGAGCTCATAATTATGTTAAATATACCTGTATATTAATAAAAAGCGGCACAACTAAGTTTTATACAAGCCTCGATGTCCTTGCTAAATTTCATAGAGATTGGGCCTCATTTGACCCTAGCTCCCATACAAATCCCCTTCAGAAAATTACTTGAATGTCCAAAATTAACTTATAAACACAAATATCGAGATGAAATTCAGCACAATAAAATATTATGTAAATATAAATATATTATACAAAATTTTATCGGGCTTGGTCCATATTTGCCCCTAGCACCCCTATAAAGCCTCTTTCAGAAAATTAGTTTTTCATCCATAAATTGTTTAAATGTATCGGAACAAGGTAATAGAAGATTAATGCTTTATTATGAAAAATAAATCACATTTAATATTCATAACTGGTGTAGGGTATCATATGGTCGGTCACGCCCGACTATACTTTCTTACTTGTTATTTATAATGTTTTTAGGGTAGCAAAGCACACTGGGTATAGCTAGTAAAAATATATAAGTAAGATGTCATATATATGTTAGAGTCTTAAATATTTATGATAACTATAAAGGTAGCAAAAAGAGAATGCTTTCCATTTATCTCGTCTTCTATTTAATTCTTATTTTAATAAGCTTATTGAATTTTCTGTTTTCGATTATAAATAAATTTTCTTCTACTGTACATTAGGGTTATGACTTTTTTTGGGCGTCAATTCGGTCAAAAAAATTCCCGCAACGAAAGCAATTTCTTAAATGCTTTCGTTATTTTTAAAAAAATATTTTTATAATTTTCATATAAAAGTATACTATTTTCTATAACTTGTAATATTATCGCGATTTGTTAAAATTTCCATAACAAGGATTTAAAGAACAATGGTCTCTTTAAAACATGTTGGTAAAAATATTTATTATTCTCATATAGAAAAAGTTTAATGTGTACAAAACTTCATCGCCTTTGGTGCGGGAACTTTTTTCACGATCGCGAAAAAATAATATCATATTCCTTAACATATTTTCACGCCCTACAAACTCTTGCTATGGTAGTTTTGATTATTGCAAAAAGTCATTACCCTAATGTTCATACATACATATTTATAATTTTAGTTGAACTTGGCTTTTATAACATGTCATGGGAGAGTATAGCAAACAAAGATCTCCTTAGGTAAGGAATTGTTAAATTGGGAAACGCAAATCATAGTTTTATTCGATTTTTCTTTTAGCATACCCCACAGTCATAATCTTTCAGCCACCCATTTACTAGCATCACCTGATGGTTCACGTTACTTGTTAAATAATACCAATGGTATGTATGACTTTTCACTGCCATTTCTGAAATATTTTGACTTTTTTGTTTTTAGAATTTTGTCAATTGGATGAAAGTTACTCACGCTTGGCTGGATGTGGTTCCAGCCCCGATGGTACCTCATTATGGGCGCGACATGGTTATACTCGCTCAAATAATTCGGTTATTAACTGTTTTTTAGCATGCCAACGAAGTTTAAAGCAGTTTATGGCTCGAAGAAAGGTAGAAGAATAGTTTTATATTACTTATTATAATACATATATCTATTTTTATATCGTAAAGATTGAACGAGGTCTTAAACTCTACGAACAACATAATCAAAATGCCGCTGTGCGAACGTGGCGTAGTGCTTTAAAGTCGACAAGTCGCCGTGAAGATTGTTTTCAACTGCTGGGCTATTTATATCAGGCACATATGGATTGGGGCAAATATCGAGAAGCTATAGAATTCGGTCATCAACAACTTGGTATATCAGAAGAATTAGATTCTCCCACCATGCGAGCCGAGACCTATCTAAATTTAGCTCGGGCTCACGAAAGATTAGGTGGTTTGGAAAGAGCCTTAAGCTATGCCAGACACTCATTGTATAATGAATGCGGTACGCAATGCCGTACGGGTGGTCTGGTTCATTTGACTGTGGCGCGTGTGTATTTAGAAATGGGCGGCTTCTCAAGGGCTTTCGAAGGTTTACAAGGTGCATACAAAATCGCAACTGCAATATGTGATCCTTCATTAGAATTGCAGGTTTATGTTGCTCTATCTGAACTATATGGTCGTCTCCAAGACAATGAAAAGAGTGCCTCGTACGCTTCCAAAGCTTATGACTTGTCACGTTCTTTGCAGCTAGGTGATCTGAATTCTTCGCATCATCGAGCCGCTCTTTTACGAATGGCTGTCGCTTTGCGTAAACAAGGTGACTTGGGTGATGCCCATGACTATTGCATGGAGGCAACGCGACTATCAATGATATCTGGCGATCAAGCAACATACATGCGTAGTATACGCATAATGGGTGATATTTATCGCAAGAAAATGGACTACGATGTAAGTTTTTCAACAAATTACACGGTGTGACAAAATTAGACAAAATCAATACACTCATCGCGAGACCTAGTGAAGTTGATAGGTCTAGTAGAGTAGATTAGAGTACCATTTTTAGAATCTGCAATATACCCTAAAAAGTGTACAAACTTTTATATTTTTTAAGGAAATGTGTAACATATTTAGATCTATATAAAAATTTTTATATTTTTTTTCAATTTTTTTACGATTCACAATAATTTTGGACCCACATTTTATTTGAAAACATAAAACATTTTTGTCAGTTTTTATCTGACTTCAACGTTTCATATCTTATTTTATTCATAAAGATATGGGCTAAAATAAAAAATATTTAAAAAATTTTTCTTCAAATAAAGTGTGGGTCAAAAATGATCTGGAATTGTAAAAAAATGAAAAAAATATATAAAAATTTGTATTTAAATCTAAATATTTTACACATTTCCGTAAAAAATATAAAAGTGAGTATACTTTTTATAAAGGACAAAGAAAACTGTTTTCAAAACAGCTGAAAAATATTAAAACGGATAAGAATATTTTGAGATATAATTTTTCTGGTCTGTCTAGTCAACAAAAAGCGTTTTTTTTTCCAATGTCTTCCGATTTTTAGGGTATATTGAAGATTCTAAAAATGGTAAAATGATCTACTCATGTAGGTCTATAAAAAGCATTATATCGCGTAATGAGTGTTTTTTAGTGTCACACATTGTTATTAATCTGAGAATATTAGACTTGAATACCGATAAGTCTTTTGCCTTTGTTAGATATATTTAAACTATTATTGATATTTACTCTAAAGTTTTCATGATATTTCTAAATTAAATTGTTACCGCCGATTATTTTATACAAATAAGATAATATTAATCTATGCATTAGAACTAGAGATGCCAATTCCGAAATCCCGATTTGCCGAAATAAATCATAAGATTTTCGGGGAAGAGGATATACACATACCCGGGACTTCAAAAATCAATCCCAGCGCTTTTTTCTAAAACATTTTTTTAATTTTTTTTGAGTATTAATTTCATCAAATTAACTTTAAAACTAAACCATAACTACGATCTTAATTCTTTTGGCTTTTACAAAACATAATTGTGCTGAATTTTGTACATATTTGAAAATTTTATTTTGAAAGTAATATGATATATTGATTTTTATACCCTATAGGGTATATTGAGTTAGTGCTAATGTTTGTTACGCACAATAATATTGGCCCTATACCCATCTTAAAGCCGGCTGGATGTGTAAGTAAAAAGTATCAGTTGATATATTATGAAATTCTAAAAGTTTTTATTTAAAATCCCTCGGAATTGCAATTTTTAAAATCGGGAATCCCGGGATTTGTAAAAGCCAGTCCCAATTGGCAACACTGAAATAGAATATAACAAAACGTCTAATTGAGTATATATCAAAATAATATAAATATTCATTGTCAAATTTTAGAGAGCTTTACGTCAATATGAACAAGCCATGGGTAACTCAGCTTCATTAGGTGATAGAATGGCACAAATGGAAGCCATGGATGGTGCAGCACGATGCTTGGAAGCTTTACGACTACAGCAAAAAATTTGCAATTGTCGTCCACTGGAATTCAATACTCGCCTACTAGAAGTAGCAAGTTCCATAGGTGCTAAAGTAAGTAGACCAAAAAATATATGTGCATAATCAAGTTTGAATGCTATATTCGGCTTTGCCGAATCTTAATTATCCTCCACCAGCAAGATACTTTTTATTAAAACCCATTTAACTATCTAGTTTTTAGATAACTCGGCATAAGTTTTGTTATCGTAGAGAGGGTACTATCATTTAGTAATTTCATTATGCATAGGGTAGAAGGGGGATCATACGCCATAGGGGCACATCTGCCAATAGCGAATAACTTGAAAATTGAGTAATCGATTTTATCGCATTATCAAGTTTTGTTTTCGTTTATCGATTATCTATCATCCCTGAAAATTTGAAACATTAACTTTACATATGATGGGAGGCAGACATGATTAATTGTTTTTCAAAGGGCTGTGAAAATATTTCACTGTGTGAACTTTTTGTGCTAACTTTTTTAGTTTTGTGATAGAAAAAATATATTGGTCAATATTAGAACGTCAGTAATAGTGAACAATAAGACATAATAATATTTTCGATAATATAATTTGAAGCCCGAAAAAAATTGAAACTAAAACCCAGAACTGCCCGTGGGGCACATGCGCCAAATATATGTAATGCTTGTGATGTAGAACAAAATTTGGTTAAAATATAGAAAAAAATCAGTAATAATTTGTTTTAATTTTTTTGTTAAGTTTTGTGAAATAAACAATAAATATCTGGTTTATTATACTTTGTTTAATGAATTAAAGTATAAAACAGTAAAATAAGTTTTTATTTTTGTAATTTTTTCTTTTATTTTACTAATAACAAATTTGCCCCATCCCCTTGGCGCATTTATCCCATGGATGGGGCGGTATCACCGTTTTGGTCAGTGCGAAAAAGTTAAAAAAATATGTACATGAGGATGACTAAGGAAAGATTGAAAGGAATAAAAGTAAAGCCTACATATCTAAGTATCCGAACCAAGAAAAAAATTAAGAATATGTATTGTGGTTTTAATTTGAGGCCGCCTCAAAAAAAAAGTGGCTTTGGCCCCCTTCTACCCTATGTGGAACTTATATTGATTATGTAGAAAAAACGTATATTAAGTAATTTTCGGATATGGACTTTTTACGGGTGCTATGACCTATTATGGGCTAATCTTGCCGATGCCAAAGAATTTAGGAGAATTATTTGTATACCCAGCGGTAAAAATACACATTATGTACTCGCTTATCTAAGTGATATTTCGTGGCAGTCAGTGGTGATGCTTTCACTTATTTTTCCACTTAGATTTAACATAAAAGTGTACTAGGAGACACGTATAAACGCTTGCAAATAAGAATGTAATGTATCGTCACCTGAAATGTAAAAAGGCGGAACAACCAAAAATTTGAAAATCGACTTTTTGGTTGAAAATGGCCCATTACATCGAAATACATGTTGTCGCAAGTTTTTAGAACTTTTATGTCAAAAACACCAATTTTATTTACATGAAATTCATAAGCGGACACCTAAGGGACTGATAAATTTGTCCCCTTATTAGATTAATAAAGATTTTTTTATTATATTCATCTTTAAACCATTTCATTTAAGAACAACATAATAAAATATTTATATATACATACATACATATTTATATATTCAAATGGATTTAAAAAAGTCACAAATTTTAGATTGGTAAGTTTTTATTTTGATTTCAATATCTTGGGAGATGTATTTTAAGATCAGTAAGCAACTGAACAGATTTAAAGTTGCTGCGGTATGAAGAAAAAGCTTTTAGTTTCTTTATTGCTATATAAGCCTCTTTATAAGAAGTTAACTTGTCGTCAATTTCACTTTCTTCATCTTCAGACGAGTTGGCTAGGTTTTCTTGGGAAGCAATTATCATTTCAGTTCTAATGTTTGACGTCAACTTGAATTCGGTTCTGAACTCGATTAATAACATCCGAGAATTGTGCAAGTGCTGCTAGTGGAATAGCATCTTCTGCGGTCCAACAGTTATGATCATTGGAGCTATCTCTTTTCCCAAACCCAGATTTCCTGAAACAATTTTATATTGTCTGTGGACTTGTTCCCACGCTTTGTGTGTAAAATAAACGACATCTAGTAAATTTATTGATTTTGATAATTCCAAAGCAGAATTTGCATTTTCCATTTGCAACAAAATATTTTTTAAAAATAACGATTTGTACAAAAACTTGAAGTTTTTTATAACGCCTTGATCTAGTGGCTGACAAAAAGCTGTTGTGTTTGGTGGGAAAAAAATAACTTTTACATTTTTTCATTTCAGATCTCGAGGATAAGAAGTCGCATTATCTAAAAATAGTGGAACATTCCGTTCTTGAATTTGCATTTTCCTATCAAACTGCACTAGAAAATCAGTCATCAATTCAGATGTCATCACCATGTAACTTGTAAATTGTTCCTCCAGTGCAAGTTTCACCTTTTAAAACAAATGTTTTATCAGGCAATGCACGAAAAAATAAGCCAGTCTCATCTGCATTGTAAATATCTCGCGAATCATATCCCTTAATAAAAGAACGCCATGTAACTTGTAAATTGTTCCTCCAGTGCAAGTTTCACCTTTTAAAGAAAATGTTTTATCAGGCAATGCACGAAAAAATAAGCCATTCTCATCTGCATTGTAAATATCTCGCGAATCATATCTCTCAATAAAAGAACGCAATTTTTCGGTAAAATTTAGGACATCATTTTGGTTTACACTAGCTGCTTCTCCAGAAATTGTACGGAAGGATATGTTATGTCGTTTTTTTAACATTTCAAGCCAGCCAGATGATGCACTAAAATCGGCGAAATTCATGTTTTCTGCAATTTCTTTAGCTTTGCTTCTTATAAAAGTACCCGACAGAGGAATAACTTTATTTCGAGCCTTCACAAACCATTCGTAGCACAATTTATCAATACAAAGACTCTTTGGACTTAACATACTCCTTTTTCTCTCTGGATTGACATAGTGTCCCACAGTTTTAAAATTTGGTCTTTGTTTTTTACAATGCAAGCAGCTTGAGTTTTGTTGATCTTACATTTTTTGCTAACTCGCGTACACTAAGCTTTTCATTTTTATGTATTTCATTAACATTTTCTTTAATACTCAACACTGCTTTAGGCATGGCGATTTCAGAATGTGTATGTATAAAAACATTTGCAAATTTATGTTTTACTACATTCAATACAACAAACTGTTAGTATTAAGGGAATTCCCCTTTCTACAGCTGGAGACATTTTTATAACAACAATAGTTTTCATTTTATTTAGTTTTTTGTCTCTCCTGTAAAATTTTGAAAAGTGTTGTTACGCCCTCTTGCATTTCAGGTGACGGTATGTAGATTACAATCCTAATTGCATTTGTAAGTTAAAGTACCATGCCTTCCGATTTTGTTATAGAAAAAATATATTTTTGTTTTATATTTTAAAATTATGCAAGTTTATTTGAAAATGATCATCAAATAAAGTTAATATGTATTATAATTCAATAAAAACATAATTTAACAATTTTAACGAAAATAAATAAATTTAATCTTAATTTTCTTTTGAAATTTTCGGTCATCTTCCTTTACAGCTTCTGTAAGCAAACAAGAGGAAATTGTCAGTATTAATACTAGAATGTATGAAGTAATATTACCTTAATTTTTAAATCCGTTCTTGCCATTTAAATCACCATAATTATTTTGAATTTTTACAATAAAATAACTTTTAACTTAACAAAACACAACTTCACTTATAATAGTTCAACTTTAAACTGACATAGAAACAAAAATAATTCAGCTTTTCATGTATACAAAAGAAAAAATGGTACTTTATTTGTGTTTTTTTTTTTTTTTTAAGAAATAAAAACAAAACAACATTAAAATGGCAGCTAACTCTCTGCTTAAATCGTAATCTATGTTATAATTAGAGTGCATTATATTTTGGATAACGTATACACTGCATTCTCCATCAGTGATGTCCAAAACTAAAACAGTAGTTGTATTGGCGAGCGAAAGAGAACTGCACTAAAAGAAAAATTGTGTATGCCAAAAAAAAAAAAATTTACGGACAAAATTAAAAATTGAAATTTATTTCATATATCATTAATGAAATTTTCTACATTAATGCTGTTTTGACAGTTTCGTAGCAAAAGAATATTTTTTAAGTGTGCGGAATTTATAAAACTTATAAGAGTTGACAACTCTTTTTTTAAACTTTTATCATCTAAATTCTTTTCGTTGGCTTCCCTATCAGATAACCAATTCTTTAGTTTTTCCAAAAAAATAATTTTATATTTTAAAAATAATTTTTCTTTTTCCCTATCACTAAATCTATCCATATTACTATGAAAAGAAACATAATGTCTTTTTAAAACAAATCCCCTAATTTCCTTAAATGTTTTATAACATAATAGACATTGAGTATTGCCAAACGCATTTATAATAATATAATAATAATAATAATATTTTTCGCATGCCATATTAAATTCTTTCAGTGCTGTAAATAAAAATACTGAAATAAAATCGTACACCAGCTACACATGCGCATTCGTCGCTGGCTCAGTGACGACTAAACAAAAGAGAATAAGAATCAGCGTTGCCACTCACAATTTATTTTTCTTACCAAAGTTCCGACAAAAAACTACCAAAACGTTCTAAAAACTACCAAATTTTTCCTTAGGGAGAATTGATTCTGTTTAGAGTTTCATTATTTTTAAAACTAATATGTAATATCATACAATGACTTTTTCCAAAAAATCAATGGTTTACTTGTACGTAATTAGACAAAATTTTCAATTACTTTGGTACTATATAGTTATGAAATACATAATTGCTGTTTTCGACAAAATTTATACCAAAATCATTCACGAGAAAATAGTAATATTATTATATTCGGCTATGACGAATCATATATGTATATCCATCAGCATCTATCGTATAAATTGAGGACTTTATGGATAAATCCTTTTATTATACTACGGTTAACTAATTTGCTATTTATTGATAATACAATTATTTTCCGTAAAAGGGGCTATATGGCTGTAATAGGATCAATTGTGG